CTGAGTTTGGAACACTAGTGGATGTAAACACCTACACCCAGAAACGATATTAAAATATGAATATTTCTTATTGCTAAGCCGAAAGGTTAAAATGTTATTTTCTTTCTTCCTTATAAGGTATGATACAAACTCATAATCTTTACACGATGATTTACGGAATCAGGTTTTGAAAACAAAACAAAACACAACAAACAAACAAACAAAAAAGCACACGAGAATACATTTACAGAAAACGCAACCAAATGCGCGCGAGTGAACAAACAAAACCTTTATTATTTCCTAGATAAACGTGAGCCTAACATGGCCGACGTTATTTGAACTCCATTCTACTTGAGTCACATTCACTTGTTCTGTGTTGTTGTTTTATTCCGATGATATTTGTAATGCGGTAAGTTATATGTTTTACTACTACCTTTCTCTCAGTAACTTCTTTTCGCCAAAGGTTGTATGTTTAAATGAATCGTATTGAATGCCTTTCATCTGTAACGACATAAAACCCGGAGACATAACCCTAATCAAATAAAACATAGGTGTTTAACAATTCTATAAAACCAACGAAAGTTTTATCAGAAATTTATCAAACTCCGTATATTTTAACTTGTTTTTAAGACAAACAACACTCGAAATGAAATCATATTGTTAACTTTTGAAACTATTATCTCTAGTAAGAAACTAAGGTTAATTGGTTGGGTAATTGTTTTTTAGAGCAAAGCCACTTTGGGCTATCTGCTGTGTCCACCGCGGGGAAACGAACCCCGGATTTTTGCGTTGTAAGTCCATAAACTTACCGCTGTTCCACCTGGGATGGAAACAGAGAACTCTGGGCTTCAGGACTCAGTCGAACAGTACAGAAGTAATTAAATAATGATTGGAACTTATGTTCCTTTAGTGACGACATGACAGCGCTACTATTATAAAACGATTTCAATCACCCTCGAAAGCTTTTTCTTCTTTCATGTAAACCTGAAATGCAATGATTGTTAAGTGAACGTTTCGAATAGCAGTTAATGTAATTTCATTTTGCCTTAAATAATGCTTTGCTAAAAAAAAAAAATATGAAATTTTGGTACGGTCTTTATCTCTCCACTTTATCTTTCCAGGACATTTTTAGCACAACCATCCTCGATGCGATGGAAATATGATGAGCCAAGCCCAGTTTAACACGTTGGGTGTAGGTGTTTACATCCATTAGTGTTTGAAACCCAGTCTAACACGTTGGGTGTAGGTGTTTTCATCCACTAGTGTTCAAAACCGAGTCTAACACGTTGGGTGTAGGTGTTTACATCCACTAGTGTTCAAAACCGAGTCTAACACGTTGGGTGTAGGTGTTTTCATCCACTAGTGTTCAAAACCGAGTCTAACACGTTGGGTGTAGGTGTTTACATCCACTAGTGTTCAAAACCGAGTCTAACACGGCTAAGGGATACTGGGTTATTGCTTCCATGTCTCCCTGATCTAATAGTTCTATACTCCCTGGTCTAATAGTTTTGTACTCTCTGACCTAATAGTTTTGTACTCTCTGAACTATTAGTTTTATACTCACTGAACTATTTGTTTTATACTCTCTGATCTAATAGTTTTGTACTCTCTGAACTATTAGTTTTATACTCACTGAACTATTTGTTTTATACTCTTTGATCTAATAATACTCACTGAACTATTTGTTTTATACTCTCTGATCTAATAGTTTTGTACTCTCTGAACTATTAGTTTTATACTCACTGAACTATTTGTTTTATACTCTCTGATCTAACAGTTTTATACTCCCTGATCCAATAGTTTTATACTCACTGAACTAATAGTTTTGTACTCTCTGATCTAATAGTTTTGTACTCTCTGAACCATTAGTTTTATACTCACTGAACTATTTGTTTTATACTCTCTGATCTAATAGTTTTGTACTCTCTGAACTATTAGTTTTATACTTACTGAACTATTTGTTTTATACTCTCTGATCTAACAGTTTTATACTCCCTGATCCAATAGTTTTATACTCACTGAACTATTAGTTTTATACTCTCTGAACTATTAGTTTTATACTCTCTGATCTAACAGTTTTATACTCCCTGATCCATTAGTTTTATACTCTCTGAACTATTAGTTTTATACTCTCTGATCTAACAGTTTTATACTCACTGAACTATTAGTTTTATACTCTCTGAACTATTAGTTTTATACTCTCTGATCTAACAGTTT